ACACTCTCCACTAGCAAAAACAATAGTGGCTTAAAGGAGCCACTCAATCCTTTACAAGAAAGGTTTCTCTCAAATCTCACCCCTTTACACTTTAACCCAAAGATCCTTTCTTCAGATCACTCTTGAAGGAATCAACACATCCCTAAGATCACTCACTAATAGCACAAGAAGAGGATTACAAGTAAAGATCTCTCAAAGATCAAAAACTCAAGTTAAAGCTCATGTAGGTAGATAAAGATATTCAATACAATACTCTCTAAACTTCTTCAGATCTGTTACCAACCATATTTATAGCCCCTTGCTCGAAAATAGCCGTTACTAGCCGTTGGGGGTCATTAAATGCTTTGCAGAACGCAAACCTCGAGCTGCAGAATTGTCAGGAAAGCCGGCTTACCTTTCTAGAGCCGACTTTGTAGAGCCGACTTACACTTTCAGAGCCGGCTATCCGAGTTTGCAGCACATTCTGTTTTTCTCGAGAACCGGCTGCAAGACTTTGAGTCGGTTTTGAAACTTCGACTTTAAATACATCAAATATTCTTCAAATAAGTCGATCGTTGTGCATTAAATGCACCCTCACAGCCGGCTACAAAGCCAGAGCCGACCTTGCGTCTTTTCTCCACGCGCGCCAAACAACGGTCTTCAAATTTTTGCCTGTAGAGCCGGCTGCAGCTTCCAGAGCTGGCTCTTTGCACTTCCATTTCACCAGAGCCGACTGCAGCTTTCAAGAGCCGACTCTCTGCAATTTTGAATCCTTTTGGTTTATTTTTAGTGCAATCCAAGTTTACTTGCAATCTTTTAGCAACTTAACTACACACTTAAATAAACCAATTAGTCACTCAAATGTGTTTTGTAATCATCAAAATCATAGGTACAACATTGTAAAACTCCATCTTTTGGTAGAGCCTATAGATTGTAGAAGATTGTGGCTAATTAGAGGAAGGGTAACTTACATTTTTTTTTTTTTTGTTGCTAGCCTTTTCCTTGATAAATTTGTATATAATTCTCAACCATGATCATGTTCCAGTTGAATCCCCAACCTAATTGTATGGTTGTAACCTAGCTTACATTAGCACCTCAGTACAATGTCCTTGCTGCACCTTACTGGTCCCGCCACTCAAGGCTTGTTGAGGGACTAAGTTCATCTAGGACAGAGATTTTGGAACTAATGAAACCCCTGTTTAAGGGTTGGGGATTAAGAGAATAATATATTCAAACTAAACGGAGACAAATTGCAGTTGGATAATTAGGTGTGGGTTCAATTGAGACAATAGGCTGTGAACAGAATTTAAAAGCTTCATTAATCTGGGGACATAAAAAATTGAGTTTACCCTTAGAAGGAATTGTACTTTTACTGATAATGGAGTCATTATTGTGAAAATATTATTTTTTTCTGGTTAAATATTTAACTTTTTCTGCATCTTATAAATTTGGTTAAATGCTCATTTTGGTCCCTCAACTTTAGTGGTTTGCACATTTTTGGTCCCTTGAGAATTTTTTGCACTTTTTTGATCCCTCAACTATACGAAATGCACTCCGTTAGTCCTTCTGTTAATTTGGGCCGTTAACTCTGCACATGTGGCATTTTTTATATTTTTTTGATGACGTGGAGGGAAACATTTTTAAAAGGGCTGATATGGACCAAACGTGTTGCCACGTAATGTTCCCGCGAGCCAAAGGCGCCAATCCACTGAAATGGGCCCCACGTTGCCTCCCGAAGCTCCAATAAACACGCGATAAACCCTGGGATTGTAGAGATGTCTTTTGGCTTGCTATTTCGGGAGAAAAAAAAACCTAAGAACTTCTACAGAACAGAGAACACTGCACTTTCGATTCTCCTCTTTGGGATTGCAGAGATTTTCTCAGAGTTTATCCTATCTTCCTTGTTCGATTCTCCGATTCTCCTTCAAAGTTCAAACTCAAACCCTAGATTTGCTGGGATTCCAAGGATTTGCCAAGGGAATCGAAGTTGCGATTGTTGAAAAGTCACTCGAAAGCAGGATCGATGGACCCCAATGACCCCGAAATCGTTGATGTCGACCTGGAACCAAGCGAAGAGATTCTGGAAGACGAGGTATCGATATGGGTTTCCTTCTCCTTTTTTCTATTGTTGTGTAACTGATTCAGAGGGTACTTTTTTATACCGACATGGACCCTTGTCTGATAAAAGTGATGCAAAAATTTTGATGCATGTTGAACTGCATGACTGTTCGAGGAGAAAAGGACATTAGGTCCCCACTTAAATAGGAAGTTTGTGTCGTTTATGTCTTTCCCATTTACTTTTGGGTTTAATAGTAATTTCTTTATTGAGTAAAATTGTCTTAACAATTTAAAATTTTTGCTTTCAACGCTGCTGGTTTTCTGGTGTCTGCTGTGTTGACTCGCGTCCAGACCAGATCTGTATTGAGTAATTTATTTTGTTTGTTTGCTTTATTTATTAGGGTGAGCATGATTCAGGAAATGAGGCAGAAACCAA